TCACCTCAGCCTCCCAAAGGCGCGGGATTACAGGCTGAGCCACCGAGCCCGGCTAGGTAGTGAGTTCTTAAGAAGTCTGCCTGTGAACGGAGCAGAGAAATGGTACAATAGCTGGAGGGTCAAGGGAACAGGGATTATTTTTTTAAATACTTAGTCTCTTGAGTATCTCTACTTAATTTCACTGACAGCTCCTTAGTATGGAAATACTTTCTTCTACATTTCTAGACTAATAATCTAAATTATTAGATGTAACAATGTTACATTGTTCCCATCATGCAACTTCAAATGGGACTATTTTTCTCATTATTATATTAAGTATGCAAAAAGTTAGGGCCTGTCTCCCCCAGAGCCTGGCACAGATGAGGGAATGTGTCTTCCTCCCACCCCACCCCCAATTAGGGCCTTGCAGAGGTAGTGTCTATCCCTAAGTGCAGCCTAGGATTCCCAGGAGTCCCTGATTCCACCTGGTTCTCTGTAAGGTTGAGCTGGGCTGCCAGCTGGGCTCTCTTCTTCCCCACCAGATTGTGCTGTTTTGCAAACACTTTCTCCAACTCTTCCAATTGCTCCAAGTTGAACATAGTTCGGATCCTCTTTTGGTGTCTGTCAGTGTCCTGAAGGTCCTCCAAGGGGGCCCAGTCTGGGGAGGCCCAGAGGCCTGGGCAGTGAGCCAGCTCCAAGCCTGAAGAGTAACCAGCAACAGGAAGGTTAGCCAATGGCCACCTGCCCACCCATCTTGGCAGAGAGAGAACACACACCAGCTCCACTGTTCTGCCCTCCCCTTGGTCAGGCAAGGGGGCGAGAAGGCAGAGTGGGCAGAGACTATATAAAAATAACAGGAACCAAACAAAAGAGAAGGGACAATGCTAGGAGACTGCCTCCACTACTCTCCAGCCAAGTGGCTTAACTTCTGGCCCGTGGTAGGAGTTGCCAAACCTCCCTTCTCCTTGCCTTCCTCTCCTCTTCCTGACTGCATCCTTTTTCATCCATTCAATACATACATTTTTTTGAGGCGGAGTCTCACTCTGTCGCTCAGGCTGGAGTGCAGTGGCACGCTCATGGCTACCGCAGTCTTGACCTGCTGGGCTCAGGCAATCCTTCTGCCTCAGCCTTCCAAGTAGCTAGAACCACAGATGTATGACAACCACCTTGGCTAATTTTTTTTTTAATTTATTGTAGAGACAAGATCTTGCCAACTTGCCTAGGCTAGTCTCAAACCACTGAACTCAGGCAATCCTGTAGCCTCAGCCTCCCAAAGTGCTGGGATTACAGGCATGAGCCACCAACTAACCAATAAATACATTTGAATGTTTACTATGTGTCAGGCACGGTTTCAGGACAAAACAAAATCTATGTCTTTACAGAGCTTACATCTGAGAAGTGGTGACTTGGAGTGGCAGGCACAGTCCCAGATGCAGTGGTGGGGATTTGGGTAGGGTTGGACATCTGTGGGGTTAACAGACAAGTAACAAGGTAAATAAATAAAATATTTAGCATGTCAGATAGCAGTTAAGTGTTAAGGAGAAAAAAAAGCAGGGAAAAGGGACAGGGTGAGTGCGTATGGGCGTGGGAGTTTGCATCTTTAGAAAGGGTGGCCACCTCACTATGGTGACATCCGAACAGTTTGTGCTCCACATATACCCAGCTGAGAGCAGGGTGAGTGGAGTCTGAAATTGTGCCCACCCCCTCTGCAGGCCAATTCTTGCCCCCTTACAAGGTGCTGTGTCTGCCTGGAGGAAGGGATGCCCTTTTCTAAGGGACCAAAAGTACTATTTTTGGCTCACCAAGCTGTGGGCCAGTGGATATTCAACAACCAGAGGTAGTGCCCAAGTCATTGCTCAATGGAGATGAGGGAGTGAGCTATTGGGGCTATCTGTTTGGGCAGAAAGTGTTCTGGGCAATGAACAACAGCAAGGGTAAGGCTATGGGTACCAATAGCTAGCCCCCACTAGCCTTGGTAGGCTACAGGGCTGGCAAACATGCTGCTTCAATGAAGGGAGCGGAGCTGGGGTCCCAGCTGCCCAGAACTCCAACCACTGAGCCCACCAGGCTTACCACATGCTTGCCCGAGGTAGGACCAAAACAAACAAACAAACAAGAAAAGTCCAACAGGCTTACAGCCTGGAGTACCTAGTCTCTCCTGCCTTGTTTCAGAATCAGAAGTAGTTTGACCCTTGGAGAAGAAATAAGGCTATAATATGTGTCGCTTAAGCACTCTGGTTGGAATTCTAGCTCTGCTGCAGGACCTTGGGCAAGTCAATATTACACCATGAACCTGTATTTCCTCATATGTAAAATGGTGCTAATAATCCCTACTCCCTGAGATTTTACTTATGTAGTGCTTAGCACTTTGCCAGGCACACACCAAGAAGAAAGTCAATGGTCATTATAAAAATTATAACACAAGAGATCATGCAATGGGGAAGAGAGATCATTTCTAGCTCGGTTAGTTCCAGATCTGGGAAAAAACTAAGCTGGATCCACTTCATACCTTGCACCATGAAAAATGTCCAATGGAGCAAATACTTAAATGTAAAAAAGCAAACCCACATAAATATAGAAGAAACCAGGAGAGAATTATTTTATGACCTTGGAGTGGGGGAGGTTATAAAATTCCCTTGGAGTGAAGTTATGTCCAAGCATGATATAAGATGTATAATTCATTTATAAAAAGATTGATACATTCAAACAAATAAAAATTTTTAAATGTTTCTACATGACAACACACACACACACACACACCATAATCAAAGTCAAAAGACCAATAAACTGAGGAAAAAATGGTGACTCATTACAGTCAAAGGGCTAATTTCCCCAATATAAAAGAGCTTCTACAAACGAATTATTTTAAATGACCAACTAGAAAAATGGGCAAAGTATATGAATAGACAGTTCACAGAAGAGGAAATACAAATGGCTCTTAAACATATTAAAAGATGTTCAATCTCATTTATATTAGAGCAATAAGTGCACACTGAGCCAATACAGAAATACTGTTTTTTCTGTCAAATTAGCTAAATTTCATAAGTTAAGTAACACACTGGGTTGGCAAGATTGTGGGAAAAGGAAACACTCTTACACATAGTTGGTGAGAGGGGAAAGTGGGTACAATCTCCATGGAGGGCAATCTGACAAAACTGCATGAACATTATACCCCTTAACCAGCAATCCCAACCATACTAGAAAATCCTGTGTGCAGGGTTATTCATTGCAGCACTGTGTATAATAGCAAATGATTAAAAACAATCAATAGGGCCTGATTAAATAAATTATGATATACTCTTACAGTGGATGACTATGTGGTCATAAAAGAAGCTCTTGCCAGGCATGGTGACTCACACCTGTAATCCCAGCACTTTGAGAGGCAGAGGCAAGAGGACTGCCTGAGTCCAGGGGTTGGAGACCAACCTGGGCAACTTGACAAGACCTTATCTCTACAATAAATCAAAACCAAAAATTAGCCAGGTGTGGGGGTGCGCCCCTATGGTTCCAGCTACTTGGAAGGATGAGGCAGAAAGGTCACCTGAGCCCAGCAGGTCGAGCCTGCAGTGGCCCTAAGTGTGCCACTGTACTCCAGCCTGGGCGACAGAGTGAGACTCCAACTCAAAAAAAAGAAGCTCTTTATGGATTGGAAAAATCTCCAAGATATATAGTCAAGTGAAAAAGTAAGGTACAGAGCAATGAGTATGGTTTGCATGGGGAAATGAAGGAAAGAATAGATATGTATGTATGTATCTATATCAGGCATTAAACATACATTATGTACCTCAGGAAGTAGGTAGCTGGGACAGGAGCCAGAGAGAAAACTCTTCTCCATATATCTTAGTATACATTTTGATATTTGGACTGGTGGATGTAATACCCACACAAAAACTAACTTGAAAATGAAACAACTAGGCCGTGCACGGTGTCTTAAGCCTGTAATCCCAGCACTTTGAGAGGCCAAGGCGAGAGGATTGCCTGAGACCAGGGGTTTAAGACCAGCCTGGGCAACTTGGCAAGACCTTGTCTCTGCAATAAATCAAAAAAATAGCCGGGCTCGGTGGCTCAGCCTGTAATCCTGCACTTTTGGGAAGCTGAGGTGAGTGGATTGCCTGAGCCCGTGGGTTCGAGATCCACCTGGGCAACTTGACGAGACCTCATCTCTACCATAAATCAAAAATTAGCCGGGCGTGGTAGCGAGCACCTGTAGTTCCAGCTACTTGGAAGGCTGAGGTGGAAGGATCGCTGGTGCCCAGCAGGCAAGGCTGTGGTGGCCGGTAGCGGCCACTGCACTCCAGTCTGGGCGACAGAGTGAGACTCCAACTCAGAAAAAAAATTTAAAAATAGAAATTGAAAATAAATTTAAAAAATTAGCTAGGAATGGTGTTACACACCTGTAGTTCCAGCTACTGGAAAGGCTGAGGTGGAAGGATTGCCTGAGCCCAGTGAGTCAAGGCTGCGGTGGCCATGAGCGTGCCACTGCACTCCAGCCTGGGCAACAGAGTGAGAATCCAAATTAAAAACAAAAAAGAATGAAACAACTGTAGCATAAAATAGTAAGCTGCGATTCAGACCTCAGGTATATGGAGACTTAAGAAAGGTGACTTGGAGTGATGCAAGATGGTGCCAGATGCAGTGGTATGGATTTGATTGAGATTGGGTGTCCAGTGGTTAATGCATTGCTAAAAGGGGTTAGGCAATGCAGATGGGGGGGGGTCCCGGTAGTGAGAACTCGGTAAGATTGTCTTACTGCCATCTTGGTATGGGTTGATAAGGTTTGGACTAAACTGTTCCTCTTTTCCTTATGGGGACAAGAAGCAAGAACCAGGCAACCCAAAATGACAAAAGTTCGCATAGGTGGATTATTTTTTTTTTTTCAGTTGGGGTCTCACTCTGTCACCCAGGCTAGAGTGCAGTGGCATGCTCATGGCCACCGCAGCCTCGACCTGCTGGGCTCAGGCGATCCTTCTGCCTCAGCCTTCCATGTAGCTGGAACCACAGGCGCGCGCCACCAAGCTGGCAAACCTTTTTTTAATTTATTGTCGAGACAAGGTCTCACCAAGTTGCTCAAGCTGGTCTCGAACCTGTGGGCTCACGCAATCCTCTTGCCTCTGCCCCCCAGGGTGCTGGGATTACAGACGTGAGCCTCCACGCCGGGCCTGCGTAGGTGAATGTTAATACTAGAGGGGAAAGTTGCCGCAACAGTTAAACATTCTCTCGGAATTTAAGGGCCGAGAGTTTAAGCACCATCTGAGAGCGCCACAAGCACCCAGGCTCCGAGCGCTCAGGTGAGCAGTGGAGGCGCAATGGGGTCTGGGCATCCGCCCGCTCCTAGCGCTCCTCGCTGCAGAGCACCATCCGCAGCGTCCACCTTTTCCCCAGAAAAGACAGGGCTGTGGGTTCGGGACGAGAGCTGCTTTGGGGTAGTTACCCCAAGGAGGTGCCGGAGGGATTGAAAGCTGGAGGCTGGAGCGGGGCTGGGTCTCCTTGCTGCCCCAGCTCTGCTTCCTGAGACCCCGTCTCTGACCCCCTGCACTTCCCACTTCTTGGTCCTCGGTTTCAAGGGCTAGGTCGACGGCGTAAAGGCCCTTCTCACGCTAACCGTGAGCGGTTCCCAAACCCAGCGGCTTCTCCTCCACGCTGATGCCAGCTACGTCGGCCTCACACTCCACCCCCGCCCGCTCTCCCGCACGTGGCGCGGGGCACGCCGTACCTGTGACGCCGAGGCCCCGGAGGCCGCAGAAGTGAACCACGC